ATTTATGCGTTACTTTATGGACGCACTGTATAATTGGTGTTTTGTTCATTGATAACAACAAAAACATGAACATTTCGTGACTTTGTTGCGTTACTTAAATGAAAAATTGCTTTCACCCATGTGTCCGAAAAGTTCACAGATAAGAAGTATGGATTGAATTTCGGTTTCAAAAAATTAATGACAGATATTCCATTTTGAAGTTCAGAACATCAATCATTGCAGACGGTACCTACCTAGTGTAATAATTAATCTACTTTTATTGTGGGGAAATTTTTACAAACATGGGAGGAGGCAATTTTCAATCGATGTAACGTAAACAAGGTCAAAAAATGTGATTGTGTTTGTTGTTCTCAATGAACAAAATACAAAGTACCGATGTGCTATCGTTCTTTTCCAAAATAGTAGGATAGGCAATTTTCAATGACAATATACAGGGAGTCCATTCAATAAAAATTGAGGGGTAGCTACCAGGGGGCTGTCCAATCTAATATCTTTTTTTAAGTCATAAAGAAAGTACTTAGATGTCATTTGAAGCATTTTTACTATTTTTTAATCATCTTGTCGAATGAGCGAGTTTTTGCAGTTACCTATACCTATAATTACTCTACAAGATATGGTGAAAAATGGAACTGATGGCATTTTTCCTTTGGAATTTCGAAAAAAACATTGATGATGGCTAAAAATAGTTCGAAACACCTTCAAACCACCTTGTATAATACATGGTTGAATTCAGAATAAAAAAAGCTTTCAGAATCTGTGAAAGAATTATCAGGGCCGTATTTAAAAAACAAAAGTTGATGATGGTTCTACGAATATGAAACGTCGCATAGAAAAATCGGTATCACCACGTTAAGAGATTCCAAAAATTCACTTTTTTCGATATTACTGAAAAACTAAAGAAAATTTTGAAAATTTTCGAAGGCTGTTGGTATGAGCCTCCGAATGCGCAACTTTTTTCCCATTTAACCGACTTCGTATCTCCTACCGTTTCCGAGATCCCCATGCTGTGCAACCTTATCTTGGACAGTCTGTATACAGAGCTGGGCATCATTTGTATTTACAAATTCTTTTTAGTATTTAAATACTTTTCGATATTCAAATACCGAGTATTCAAATACTTTCTGGTCCAGGTAATTATAATTATACCTACAAATATTTGTTGGAATATATTCATAACTTAGTATTTGCAAATACATGGACCTAGTTTTATTAAAAGTGAGAAATCATTTAAAGCCCATCCCTTGCACATTTGCGATATGAAATCAGCAGAAGAAGAGCTACAAGAAATAATCAAGGAATCATCTTCTACGTAATCATTTGGAGTTTTGGTAACACCTGACAAACAGTAGGTATGTTGTGGAAGAATAAAGATACCATTTTACCAAATAGTGAATGCAGGGCACTACAAAGGTTGAGGTGTGTAGAGAAGAAATGTAAAATGGATGAAGATTATGCAAGAGAGTATTGCCAAGAACGTTGACACCTATGGAGGCAGACATCTGAACACCCGCACCTGGTATCTTCCCCATTTCGCCGTTAAAAACCCAAACAAACCAAACAAGATTCGACTCGTTTTTTATGCAGTTTCCAAATCTGATGGCGTTAGCCTGAATGGCAGTTTTTGTCAGGTCCAGATCTTCTCCAGTCGTTGGTAGCGATATTATGGAAGTTTAGACAGCGACAGTTTGGATTTTGTGGAGACGTACGGGAAATGTTTCACCAAATGGAAATTAGAAAACAACAAGACCTCAGCGTTTCCTTTGGCGAGATCTGATTTATGATAGGAAGCCAGATGTCTATGAAATGTTGGTAATGACTTTTGGCTCTACTTGTTCCCCTGTTTGTGCACAATTTGTAAACAATTATAATGCCAGAAAATTTGTCACAGATCCTGAAATACGATCAGCCATTGAGAATAAATTTTATGTTGACGATTACTTTGATTCTAAAGACTCCGAAGAGGAAGCTCTTCACACTATAGAAGAGGTATGTAAAGTTCAGAGAAAAGCTGGTTTTGAAGTAGTTGGCTGGATGTCGAATTCACAACTTATTCGTGAAAAACTAGACAAGGAATTATTATTGGTCGATTCAAGAAATATTGATAATTCTTCTTGTCACCGGATACTTGGTCTTTGGTGGAAACCAACGAATGATGAGTTTTCCTTCAAACTCTTATTTCAAGGATTTGGAGAATATGAAACCAACCAAAAGGATCATTCTTAAGTTCGTAATGTCAGTTTTTGATCCTCTTGGTCTGATATCTACGCTCACTATCAGAGGGAAGATACTGATGCAAGACATATGGCGTTCCAAAGCCAGCTGGGATGAACAACTACCTGAAGAGCTGCTAGTTTCATGGAACAATTGAATAGAAGGGATCAAAAGAGTAACTGAAATTAGAGTTCCGAGATACTACAGTTTGAATATTCCGAAAGCTCGTACTATTGAAATCCATACATTTTGTGATAGCAACAAGATAGCCTTCGCTGTACAGTTATTTGCAAGTAATTGGGAGTAAGAGAATTGATGTTTCGTTAATTGCAGCCAGAACAAGAGTAGCTCCCTTAAAACTATTATCGATCCCTAGACTGGAACTTATGGGATGTAGATTGGCACAGACATTTGAACTTGAGTTAGAAATCACCATTTAAAAGTGTTTTAAAAGTGTTTTAAAAGTGTTTTTAACCGCCAGCTTAGTTGCAAAGCAACCCTCGAAAGTCAGAGACTTGTGTGAGTTAAGAAGACGGGGACCTTAGCTTTTTAAGTGTCATCCGAAGCACTATTGATCGAGCTTATTTCTTGTCAGACTCAAGATGCGTATTCAAGTGAATCAGAGCCGATGGATGCAACAACAAACAGTTCGTTGCTCATCGGCTAGGCGAGATTTAGGAGCAAACTAGGACAAAAGATTAGAAATGGGTGCCAACTGAGTTCAATGTAGCTGACGAGGCAACAAAGTTGACTCCCCTAAGTCGTAACATGGTTGTTTCACACGAATGGTTCAACGGTTCACATTTTCTGAAGAAAGACCCAGTTTCTCGGCCAGTTGAAGATGAAACATTGATCAAAGACGCAGATAATGAGCTGAAAACGGAAGAAATATGCTTAGTCATAACAAATTATGAACATTATTTGCCAAATATACTAAAATTATCGGAATTGATGAGGTTGATCCGAAGTACTTCTTGGTGTTCTAGATTTATAGAGAACTTGAAAAATAGAAGAAGAGGACTAGAAAAAAATACACCTGAATTGACAGTTGATGAATTGGAGTATGCGGAAATGATTTGGATAAAGTATGCTCAACATAAAGTTTTCCGGAAGAAATCAGTAATTTGGAAAAAGGGAAATTGTTAGATAGGCGAAGCAAGCTGATATCTTTAGCCCTGAACTTGAATGGAATATTGGTACTGTATGGACGTATCAATTTGGCGCAATGTGTGCATGAAAATACTCGACAGCCTCATTTTGTGCCCAAAACATGAATTTACCATTATCATGAGAAATATCTGCATGGGGGAGTTGAACTCATTTTGAACGAAAAAAGACAGAAATACTGGATTTTAAAAGGTAGAGCAGCTGTAAAATCAGTAATATTGAAATGCTTGATATGCAAAATTCGAAGATGCAAGCCGATTCCACCTCTTATGGGCCAACTTTCAGAAGTCAGACTACGAAGAGAGATCAGACCATTTGTGAACATCGGAATGGACTATTTTGGTCCGATGTATGTTAAAAGCCAAAGAAGGAAGGAGCAACGGTGGGGAGTGATTTTTACGTGTTTGGCAGTTTGAGCGATTCATTTAGAACTGGCTCACACTCTCAACACCGATTCCACGATAATGGCAATAATGCCATTGGCTGCACGAAGAGGACAACCTGGAACGATTTATTGTGACAATGGAACTAATCTACGAGGAGCCGCCAAGGAACTACAACATGCAGCTACAAACTTGAATAAGACCAAGATAATTGATTAAATGTCCTCGAGAGGGATAAACTTCAAGTTCAATCCTCATACAGCAGCTCATATGGAAGGAGTATGGGAAAGACTCATTGGCTGTGTGAAAAAAATCATTGGGAAGGTTCTTACCGAACAACCACTGGAAGAGGAAACACTATTAACATGTTTAGCATAGTCGGAAAAAAATTTCAATTTCCGACCTTTGACTAGAATTTCTTCGGATCCAGCAGACTTAAAAGCACTTACACCGAACCATTTCCTTATGGGATCATCTAGTCGAGATGAAACTTTAGTTTCAATGAATCCCAATTCAGATGGTTTGAAACGAGAGTGGAAGAAATCTCGTGAGTTAATAGATCCATTTTGGACATGGTGGGTAGAGGAATATCTACCAACGCTCACCAAAAAAAGCAAATGGACAAATGATGAGAAACTCGTAGCAGTAGACGATGTTGTGGTATTAGTAGATGATCAAGCACCAAGGTACAAGTGGAAATTGGGAAGAATCACTGCTACATATCGAGGCCCAGATGGCAGGATCAGAGTCGGGAATGTAAAAACTGCTCACTCAGAATACCGACGCCCAGTCACTAAGATATGTCGTCTTGAGCTAGAAGACAACTAATTCCTCTAGTAGGGAGGAGAATATTATATTTTCAATAGTTAATGATTTATTGTTGTTATGTGTGCCCTGTATATTTTGAATGAGAAAAGTCAGGCTGAAATAAAGTAAAAAAGTCGTGACATTCTGTCAATAAAATATCAAGAAATTTTGGGTTTATTGATAGATATCTGAAACCTGAAACTATTTGAGAAACTGAAACAGTAATATTGATCAGTCGCGGCGATACAATTCCGTATAAAGGTCACCGACCGCCGTGGACTCGTCATGGTCAAAGGCACGGAGGTATTAAGAATAGTGCCATGAAGCTATGATGGATCCCTGTGTTTACATTACAACAATTTAGATACAACCACCTAACAAGTTAGAGTATAACTATGTAATGTGTATTATGTCTTTTGATTCAATGAAAATCTACTCATATTTATTACTAGAGTTTTGTTCATTTTCGATTTTAACGAATCTCGAATTGTCTAATTGCAGTTGCAGTTCATGATGAACAATTTCAATTTCACTTTTCACACATTTATCCACAAATTCAGAATCTGTTGGTAAAATACTGTCCTCGACGACTTCAACCTTCACTTCTGTTTCAATTTCATCGTCAACATCATTAATGGAACAACTTTTCATCTTTGTTTCAGAACATAGTCCGCTAGTATCATCGTTAGCAGCAACAATTTTACCTTCCACCCGTATTTCACTGTGACGAGCTTTGCTGTGACTATTCAATTGACTTCCCAATTTGGACTTTTTCACATCACGTTGAAAAGGTTTCCCGCCAGCGTGCAGGGCAACGTGTGTCAACAAGTGACTTTTAAAAGCAAATATCTGTTGACACATGCTACATTCGTAAGGTGCCTCGCCAGTATGTAGTCTACAGTGTTCTATGATGAGGATTTTCCGACTGAACGATTTCTCGCATATATCGCATTCAAATGACTTCCCCGCAGTATGCGTATCAATATGAAAAAGCAAATTCTTCTTTGAGGCGAATTTTCTCTGGCAAATGTGACATTCAAAAGGTTTCTCACCAGTATGAATTCTTCGGTGGCGAGTCATATCGAACTTTCGTTTGAACGCTTTTTGACACATATCGCACTTGAACGGTCTCTCGACAATATGTTTTCTCATGTATGTGATCAAATGTTCGAATGATTTCAAGTTATCATGCAGTTTGGAATGTTCTCGCAAATAATCAGCAGAAGTGAATTGTTTCTGACAAGTGTCACATTCGAAAGTGAAAATCAAGTGATTCTTGCGTGAGAATTTCTTCTGAGAAATATCACATTCTAATGGTTCCTCACCAGTGTGTATTGATGCATGTTGAATCAAACGATGGTTTGAGGTAAATGTCTTTCGGCAAATTGCACATTCGTAAAAATTCAGGTCAGTGTCCACGTGTTGATGTGCAATAAAGTTGACTTTGTGTGAGAAATTGTTCTGATAATGTGAATTCCTCCTCGCAAATATGACATTTGAGGAGTTTTTCGTCAGTGTGCGTGGTGATGTGTTTGTTGGGAATGTCCTTCCTGCTGAACTTTGGCAGATTTCACATTCACCCTCATGCAGTCCATGGTGTTCCTTCAATGATAGACAAATATTGCATTTGATAAATTTTTTGATGGCTTTCTTCTTGTCATCCTGCGAATTCCCAGCAGCACTATCAGCTGAATCCATTTTCAAAGCAGATTTCCAGGTGAGTGATCTAGTTTTTTTGGCAGGTAGCTGATATTTCCTTGATCACGTGGGCAAGGAGATGGAGGGAAATCTGTGGATGAATGAATCACTGTTAATTCACAAGTGGGTGTAACATCACAGAATACAGAGAATATGGAATCAGGTAGTGCGTGGAGGTGATTTTAATTCAAAATATTGCACTTGCATGGACCTGAAAATCATATTTTGGTCAAGTATTGGATTTATCGAGCCCAGTGAACTCATAAAGTGAATCAGAATAAAACCGACAAACTTCGTACCTAAACGGATTACTCACCTCATTTTGAGGTGAACAGTTCCTATCAACGTATGTCCTAAAATGCGTCTTCTCTGATATACAAGGTCCCAAAAAAAACAAATTGAGGTTTTTATCAGTTCCTACAGAACTCCCTGTCGAAAAAAATTTGAAACTCGGTATACTATTCCAGATTATTCAATGTAATCACATGGCGTTTCCATTAATGAATTTCGTTAAGCAGTGGCGTATTTTTGATAAGCAGTGGCGTATTTTCGATCGTATATGTCGCCACATTTTCCTTCACGTTTTTTTCTTAGACAGACCAATTAGTTAGGCTCATCGATACCTATCCTTAAAGTAATATGTAATGAAGTGTTTTTGAGCCAGCTTCATTACTAGACTGGTTTCAATAAATATCTAAGTTCCTGAAGCATATTTGACTTGAATTTCACTTGTTCGATATCTCGAAACCCGAAAACCTGATGGAGCTCAGAATTTCATCAATTCCTGACTTTCAAAAGTTTTTCCAGATAGTAAACTCTACTAGACATCATAACAACCCTAAATACTTCAATATTTTTCAACCCTTTGCTTATGATATGAAAATTAGATGAATTATCTATCTGTTGAAATGATTGATGTTTGACTGCTCATAACTTTGTTGTTATTGAATATTTTCCAGCCAAATTCATCCAGTAGCATAAGCAAAGGTAGTAGATCCTGTTCCTGTGCCCATTTAGGGTTGAATATTATTTTTTCCACGTTTTGTGTTCGAGGTGCACATGTGCTTTCCAAGGACAGATTTAGTGGCCATGGCCATGAGCCATGACAAGGTGGGAGTTTTGACCAAAGAGATTCCAAATTTACTTGTCCTTGTGTCAAGGCCAATGCAGTGTATAAATACTGAAGAGTGCAAGGAAATGGGACGACAGTTAGACTTAACTTCAGATCAAACTTCACACTTGACTTCACTCCTGTTTCTTGCCGGCTCTCACACGTATTTTTGATTTTGATTTTTGCTGTTAGTGCTCTCAGGCCAGTGTATATTATCGTATAGTGATTTTGTGTTACACATGTAAGTTTGTAAATATTTTTCACCAGTTATTCACCCTGTATATAGATTCATTCATTCCTGTTGCTTCGATTCCCGATATACTTTCCCGACCTGTGTGTTTCGGAATGCCTTTGGTTAACATTATTATTGTTAAATGTGTCCGCGCACCTGTTTCACTAAAACGACCCCTGACCCACATGAATCTGCCGATGATATTTAGGTCGAAAATAGGTACGACCAGTGATCTGGTTTACTCCGTAGTGAGACGACGTCTTGGAACAGTTTTCTATTCTCGTGTAACCCGGTTGGTTTCACCTTATATTCAAACTGCTGTAATTAGTGATTGTAGATTACACTTATTGCTTATTGCTACTCGCTTCAAATCGCTACGTATTCCCTATTAGCAGCTTGAAACTGTGGACTTTTGTGCATGTGCCTATGTAACCTTGGACCTGAGCCGGTCTCCACGCCTAACACCATTATCAGACCAAAAGGGCCCTTTGAGAAGCTAGAGAATTAGGCTTTTGTAGCATCTCACGACACGGAACAGTCTCAAAAGGGTAAGTCGTTATATAGTGCAACTCGTTTTACTGCAGTTTCTTTGAAAAATCAAATCAGTCTCAAAAGGGTAAGTCGTTATATAGTGCAACTCGTTTTACTGCAGTTTCTTTGAAAAATCATAATTTTGGATTAAGTCCATTTATTCGAACCACAAAGGCTTTCGAATCGCATTCATTGGTCCTTCGAGCCGGATATATCGGTACATTTTTGAATGGAATTGCATTTTTTTTAATTCTTGAAGAATTCAAAATTTCACTTGTTTTGGTCATATTGGCTCAAAACCGCAACATCGCATAATTAATTCCATTTATCACTTTCCTGCTTAATCACGTATTTCCATTGGTCAAAACACCATAATTCCATCTCAATTATCAAGTAACATTATTCTCGCGCGGTACTCTCTTATGGTCTTCCAATTGTTCGCCATTTATATTTTCACCTGTGAAGTATTAATTGTAAACAAGCGAAATCGGAGCGTGGACATAGCGCTCGTCAGTCTGGTAAGAGAGGCGGGCCTAATTAAGCTCATGCGTATTGATTCACCTGTGCACAGTTGTCCACGAACGTCGACCGAGAATCATCAGCTGGTACCGTTACCGTTTCACATTTTATCAACGTGCTATTTCTCTCCTCGCTGATTTATCAATTTTGAGCTGAAGTTTGATATGGATAAATTAAAGAAATATCAGGCTTATAGGAAAACCTGCCTAAATGAAATAAATATTCTCCGAACGTTGGCCGACCGTACTAAGGCTGACAGATCAGTTCGAACTTTGTTCAAAGTACGATGCGGAAAGTTAGAATTTATTCGCGAAGAATTTCAAAAACAACATAATAATGTCGTCGCGGCGCTTCCTACTGATCCAGCCGCTGATGTTGATATCGAGAATGGCGTGCGCGAGGGTTTCTCAGAGGATTTTTATGTCATTAAAAGTATATATACGGATCTGTTCGAAAGTTAGAAAACATTAGTGAAATATCATAAACTCAAACAGGCATCATGGTATAGTTTCATAGTTATATATTTATTTTTCAATTTCTGATGAAAAAGGACTTTGGCTCGTTGGTTGATTAGCCAGTTCTACATACGGTATGGTAGATCGACAGGTAATACTTGGTACTATTTGCGGCACATTTGTGGCTGCCTCTTTCTCATCTACAGCTTCATTGGTACTCTTCAATGTCCATCGCATGTCTCTGCTAGATCGATCATTTCAAATTTGGGAACATTCTCAGTATTGCCAACTTTATAAATTTCATTCGGACAATATTAGTTGTTTCCATTTATGAACTTATTATCGTCTGTCTTTTTCCTGCAATTCTAAAGAATTTTTTTTTGTTCTTATCCATCATTCGGTTGTCCCCTTACGAGCAACCCTCAAAAGTCTTCAAGAGATTTGTGCGAACAAGGAATGGCGGTGGTCTTACCTTTTAACGTGTGATCCTTAACACTTTCTTAGGCCATCAAAAAAATATCTGCGGTCGTGGTGGGAATCGAAACTCTCTATTAGGTTATTTTTTTGTAATGTATTATATAACTGAGTTATGTCTGAATATTTCATAACGTTTTCGGGCTGCACCGCTTGTGCTAGGTTTGCATTCTTTCCCTGCTGCACTCCACTGCTTAACCGATTAGGTAAACCCAAGGCATAGCACTGTGAATGGTTAGACAATATAACTCCGGTGGAATCGACGATCGTATGCAGTATGATAGCTGAAGCACTGTTGAAGCTGCATGAGTATTAACCTCATATTTTATTATTTCATGCAACTGTAAATTAGGAGTTTCTTCTGCCTAATTTACAGTTGCAACTGTAAATTACAGTCTCACAGTCTCAGCGAATCGCGTGCTATCAAAGAATGAAAGCTGCCCATGTCTGGTAGTCTGGTGAGAAATTGTGAGAGCTGAGACTGTGAGACTCTAATTTACCGTTGCAACTGTAAATTATAAAGAAAAAACTGTTTTTTCAAAGTAGCTCCCAATTTACAGTTGCAATTGTAAATAAGGCAAATGTTCGTGAAAACAAAAGTTTTTTTAGGATGACAGTTCAGACGCGTCGAAAGTGGGACATGTCCAAGAAATAATAATTTCAACAGTAGATTTTTTTTCTATTAGGAGTGTTTATTTCATTATTGACCAGTAGTGTAGAAAAAAGAAGTCAAAGATCGCGCATGTGTTCTAAGAGCTATTAGTAGAATAATATTTATTTATACACCAAGGTAGTAAAGAATATAATTATTACCCAGGGACCAAGATTGAATCCCGAGGCATCAGCCGAGGGGTAGAAGGTCCCGTGGTAATAATATTCTTTACTAACATTTTTTTCACCACTAGCAATAAATTTCAATCATCATAGTTCTGGGAAACTGAAATGTGAACCTATGTCACTATGAAAGCACTTCTTTTCAATTTGAAATCTAGTTACCATGACAGCATTTGACAAGTAGTTATTGATAAATACCTACTAGATTCGGGTGTCATTCCTGCGAATGTCACATACGAACAGTGAATTCGGGTTAATTATAACAGAGGCGGCAATGTCTTTATTGACTAGTGGTTCATAAAATGACGAAAACTTCCTTGGTGGTAAAAACACACTTTACACCTTCAAAATGAGGAAATAATGGTAGGTTATATAGCTAGTGGTGGGAAAATTATATAAAGTTCTCCTAATAATAAGTGTCTCCTTTTTTCTCGATTTCACCGAATTGTTCGGAATTGTCCAATTCCAGTTCATTATGAAGTATTTCAAGTTTGCATTCCTTTTTCACACATTCATTTTCAAAGTCAGCGTATGTTTGTTGGAATCTGTCCTGAACTTCTAGTTTCACTTTGTCTACTAACAAGCAATTTCTCTCTGCTCATTCAGCTCATAGATAAACTACTGCTCAGCTTGAAATCAGAATTCATTCAGTCAATTCAGTCAACCAGATACAGTCTAAGAACAGTCTCTTTTGGTGAAATACATTATAAGCTTTCAGTACAATTTATATGTTCCCTACCTCGCAAAGATTATGCTGGAGTAGTAAACTCTAAAACTAGAGGATTGTTCATCTATATCTTGGTATAGTTGAATCAGGAATTTCATATGGAAATTACGTATGATACGCCAGTGACCTCAATATAACCTGAAAAACAACGAATGTCAAAAATCTAGTGTTCATCCCCAGAATTGAATAAGGATGGAGCTATATAACTGTTTCACAAACGCTTTAGAGTGAGAGGAGACGAGGATCTGTCCGTACCCTGTTAAGATGACTTTAACGTCAATTTCCATCAAGGGACCCTAGTGATTATCAATTAAAAAATGTTCGCTGTTTCCCCGACTTCAATCCTGCTGGTCTACCCCATGCTAGACGTTGTAATGTAAGTACTGTTTTTTTCAAGTGTTATTTTGCGTTGTGTTTCATTTGGCAAGCCATTATGTTCTTTTTTCTTTGCTAACCTACCATGTGGCAAGCATTTATCCATGATATTTTCATTTAATCAATGAATGTCAAATTTTATATGAAAACTGTCCTGACTCTTTATTTGGGGATGAATGTGGTTGGGTGGTAAAATGATCAAAACCTCTCGTCGAAAAGCCAAGCGAGTAGCTAAGTTACGACCTATAGGAGGGCCAACATCTGAGTTGCGACAATATCTCTGTTTCCTTGTGAATAGTTCACGATTTCATTGAAAGCCAGATGAGTGACATATCACATGGAAATCAAATCCAGAGCACTTCAGAGAGGACAGATGATGTAAATTTTCAACTATTAGAAGTGTTTTTTTTTTATTGGCCAGTAGTGAAGAAAAACGAAATCACAGATCGCAAATATAATCGTGTGTTCTGAGAGCTATTAGTAGAATGAATACCTATTTATATGTCTCTTAATAATAACTGTCTCCTTCTTTTTTCTCGATTTCAACGAATTGTTCGGAATTGTCCAATTCCAGTTCATCACGAATTATCTCAAGTTTACATTCCTTTTTTACACATTCATTTTCAAAGTCAGCGTATGTTTGTTGGAATGTGTCCTGGACTTCAAGTTTCACTTTGTCTACTAACAAGCAATTTTCTATTTTTATCTCAGAATGGTCTCCGCTACCCTTGGCATCAGAAGTTTCCAAAGGTATCTCCATATGACGAGTTTTACTGTGACTGGCCAAATGACTTTTCAATCTGAATCTTTTCAAACAAACATGACACTCGTAAGGTTTCTCGCCTGTATGCACTCTTATGTGCCTTGTCAAGTCGATCTTATTAGTAAATTTCTTCTGACAAGTATGACATTCGAACGGCTTCTCCCCAGTATGCACTTTCATGTGTTGATATGAATAGTTCTTGTTTGTGAACTTTTTGTGGCAAACGCCACACTCATAAGGTTTATCGCCCTTATGTAATGCATAGTGTCGGGACAAGTGATACCGCTGTTTGAACTCCTTCAGACATATATCACATTTAAAAGGTCTCATTTCGGAGTGCGCACTGATGTAATGTTTGCTCAAATCTCTTTTTGAACTCAATAATTTCTGGCAAACATCGCACTCAATCGTTTTCTCATTCTTGTGCAGTGACAAATGACTGTTCAAATTATTCCTAGAGTTGAACCTTTTCTGACAAACTTCACACTCGAAAGGCTTCAGGCCAGTGTGCGTATTATGATGCGCCGTCAAGTGCACCTCAAGTGCAAATTTCTTCTGGCATATGTCGCACTGGAACGGTTTCTCGCCATGTTGAAGTTTAATGTGACAGTACAGATTATTTCTCGATGGAAACTTCTTGTGGCAAACGTCACATGCAAATGGATACTCGCCAGTGTGAATTTTGGTGTGATCCATGAGTCTACACCTCTCGATGAACCTCTTATGGCATACTTCACATTCGAACGGTTTCTCGTTGGTGTGTATCCTGATGTGTTTGGTCAGATTGTTTCTTCTGTTGAATTTCTTCTGACAATATTGACATTCGAATAGCTTGAGGCCAGTGTGCACATTACGATGTTCAACTAAGCGAACCTTGCGTGCGAATTTCTTGTGACATACATCACATTGAAATGGTTTTTCGCCAGTGTGCACTATCTGGTGATCAATCAAAGTAGACTCTCTAGTGAACCTCTTGAAGCAAACATCGCATTCAAATGGTGGTTTCTCGATGGTCTGGTCAGCACGAGAGTTTTCAGCTGGTTCCATTTTCGCCACAGGTTTGCAAGTCAGCGATCTAGGTTTCTTTGGCAGGTAGCTGATGTTTGATGATGTTGAAGTAGACAGGAAATGTATTCCTCGAAAGGAGATGAATCGATACCTGTGAATGAATGAAACAGTGTTAATTACTTCGCCCCATGTTGCCAACCTAAAAAGGTCTACCACTTCAAAAGCAATATTATGGAAGTTTGATTATTCGAATGGCTTTAGTTTGATGACATCTTATTGTATGAGTGTAACGTTTCTCTAGATAGGAATAAGAATTATACCACTTCTCCAGATAAAACTTTATTTACATAAAAAACAATCAATAATGTTTCTTTTACACTATAGAAACAGTCCTGTCTACACAGGGCGATTGAATTTGATTAATAATATTTATACAAGGAGTCTACTCAGCTTTCTGCTGAAAGTAATTAAAGTAATTTTTTGTGCCATTCATATCATATTGGTTAAAACGCATGTTGGTGCATCTAGGTTAAGTCAACACTTTCAATAGTGTCACGAGTAGAAAATGATAAAGCAATATATCAGTAAGTTCGAATCACGTTCGGATACTGATCAAGGAACTCTCACGAGAAACGTGCAAACCTATAATAATCTGGATGTCAGGGTTCCGAAGTAATCTGGTCTGGGGCTACTCTTGACTTGACTAGAACTCCTGGTAATGGTAATCATAACATGAGTTGTTATGAAATATATGGTAACGAGACTCTTTAATTCAGGGGAATTCGGGGCGTGGTAGTATCAGAAGTCAGAAAAACACTACATTAGGATAGTCCCTTTTATTGGTTCCTACCAGGCCAAACGACGTTTGTTGTGTGACGTTGGGATATAATTCAGGAGAGTTTTCAATGTTCACCGGTTCGCGACCACTTGAACCACACTTCGAACACAGAGTTTTTGATTGATGACCACAATAACCGAACTTCGAAAGGTAACGTTTTTTGAAGACCAAAGCCGACCAATCCAAGACCAATTCGCCCGGGCTTTTTGATTGTCGTTGCGGTTCAAGAATATAAAGTATAACCTCAAAACAATCAAATTACTCAAAAAATGGGGCATCTACAGTCTTCGAGATTGAGTGACTCGAACTGCTTATATTGCAACAAAAATATCATTACATCACTGGATTATTTCTGATATACAGGGTGAGTGAGTGAGGGAGTGAGGGAGTGAGTTTGAGATCGATGAACAAAAATTCCAGAGATGATCTAGGATCATGAGCAGAACCTTTCAAAATTATTTCGCTTTATACAGGGTGACTCAGAAATGCGTGACGTATCAAAGTTTTGCTTTTTCTTATGGGACACCCTGTATTTCATTGCTTATTCGCATTCTCCTTTGTGAGCTGACTTCATCAATGCATCACACTTGGAGTCTAGCAAGAATGATTGCAGAGATATAGGTTGTTCAAAATCGAGATTTTTCAACTTCAGGATTTCTTTGCGTCGAAACTATTCATTATTGGTCAAAACGGCTTTCATGTCCCTATCCCAACTTTCGATTTACTATCTACTGACATTTAATTGGAACAAATACAGGGTGGTTCAAGATTCAGCATTCTGATCACCCTTGAATCTGTTCCAATTAAATGACAGTTGATAGTAAATCAAAAGTTGGGATAGGGACATGAGAGCCGTTTTGTTCAATAATGAATATCTTCGACGCAAAAAAATCCTAAAGTTGAAAAATCTCGATTTTCAACACCCTATATCTCTGTAATTATTCTCCCTAGAATAAAAGTGTGATATATTGATGAAGTCAGCTCACAAAGGAGAATGCGAAAATGCAATGAAATACAGGGTGTCCCATGAGAAAAAGTATAACTTTGATACGCCACGCATTTCTGAGTCACCCTGTATAAAGCGAAATAATTTGGAAATGTGCTGCTCATGATCCTAGATCATCTCTGCAATTTTTGTTCATCTATCTCAAACAGTAAAGTCGTTATCTCACATTGCCACACTAATGACTCACCCTGTATACAGTTCAGAATTATTATTTCATTCAACAGAATATCGAGGAATTCAACGAAATTTTGTGTTTATTTTATATACTCTGGTTCCCACGACAATGGATATCCTGCAATGTTCAGAGAACACCGTGAGAACCAAGGAAAATAAGGTAGGAATTCGTGTTCTTCTTAAATTTCTGGAGTTTATATGCCTCGGTGAACTCCTCCCTTGGCAATGTGTTCCAGAGCCTCGCTGGTCGTTGGATGAACGAGTCTTTGGAAAGAGTTGTTCTGCGGGTCTCCAAAGTGACCACGAAGGGGTGTGAAGCCTCAACTCGACGGGTTAATCTCGCGGGGACTACCAAGGGAGGAACAATTGTTGATATTTCAGAAGAGCATCGTCTATGAAAATATCTATGAAATAGAGCCAGATCGCCAACTTTTCTACGGTGTTCCAGAGCAGTGAGTGAGTTTGTGAGCGAGGCATCACCCACAAGACGAATTGCCCTTTTTTGGACAGAATCCAATAGTTTCAGGGTATGTTTGGGTGCTGCACTCCAAATATGGAAACAGTATTCCAGGACAGTTAGGATCTGTGCCTAATAGATCATAAGCAGCTGACTGGAAGTGAAATAGCTCCTGGCCCGAAACAGAACCAAGTTTTTGGAATGCCCTTTTAGCAATTGATCTCACGTGATTTTCCCAAGAAAGGTTATTGCTGATAGTAAAACCAAGCATCGAAATGGATATCTTCAAAGGTATGTTTACTCTTGACAAGATTATGTTGGGCACAGTGAGATCGGCTTTTCTAGAGAAAAGTCAACATTTCTCCCTCGTTCGTTTCTGATTTGCCTGGCTGGTATTGGGCCCTGGAAGAGAAGGTGGTGTGGAGGGTACTATCATCCACGAAGCTGTATACTGGACATGGAGTTGCTTCCAACAAATCGTTGATATGGAGTAGAAATAGTGTTGGTGCTAGAATTGATCCTTGCGGAACACAAGCATTTATGATAAGAGAGTCAGATAAAACTCCGTCGACCACTACATGGAGAGACCTGTTTGAGAGAAAACTAGCTAGCAGAACATAGCTGGGGAAGCAAGCCATAAGATGGAAGCTTGGCGAGGAGTCCGTGGTGCCAGACTCGATCGAATGCCTTGGAGATATCAAGTGCCACGGCTAAGGTTTCTCCCATATTTTTTGCTGCCATATATGTGAAACGTAAGCGAGCAGGTCACCAGTTGATCTCTGATGACGAAAGCCATATTGCCTATCGTTGATAATACCTTAATGTTCCAGGTATTTCATGAGCTCGATGTTGATAGCTTTCTCCATGATCTTTGAAATAATAGATAGCAGTGCGATCGGTCTGTAGGTGCTAGGTAGGGTCTTTTTGCATTTTTTAGGAACTGGTTGTACTCTTGCAGTTTTCCAGTTGGACGGGAATATCCCCATATTGCAAGAGTAGTTGAACAACTTGCAGAGAACAGGTTTTAGTTCGGGATCACATTTCTTGAGGACAATTGGTGGGATTCCGTCGGAGCCACAAGCTTTGTTGGTGTTGACACCCAATAAAGTCTTCCTTTTATTTCTGGTAGATTATCAATTGATCAGTGAAGTTTAGGGTTTTAAAGGTTTTTGTATACAAGCGACCGTTCGAAACCATTCGTATTTGTCATTGTGATTAGTCAGGTGACACTAATTATCAGTCGGTCAATTGTATTTTTGAAAAGTCAATTGAATTTCAGAAAGTGTCATTTAAATGTCAATTGATATTTTATCGAAATACAAATGACACTTTTTAAAATTCAATTGAATATTTTGAATTACAATTGGCACTTTCTGAAATTGAATTGACTATTCTGAAATACAAGTGACTATTCTGTAATTCAACGGACGCTTTCTGAAATCCAATTGACTATTCTGAAATGCAATTGATGCTTTTCGAAATATGAGTAACTATTCTGAAAAACAATTGACGCTTTCGAAATACAACTCGAACAAGTCTATTACTTGATTTTGGCGCATTCAAAGATACTCTCTTCTTTATAGAACTATCGGTGAGCTTCTAACTATGTCAATGTCAATAGGAACAAAATATTATATCGTGAGTAATTTGGCTTGAAAGCAAAAGAAAACGGGTTGTGCTGATATTATTTATCTAATACGTCATTGTAAGTAAGTAAGTAATCCACTTTCTTTATGTACTCATTGAGATGGATAGCACTTTTTTTGAAGAGCATTATTGTTATTATCCATTTTTGATGCTACAGGTCTTCCCCAAACAATGCCATAATGTATGATGGACGACTCTACAAGTGAAAAATATATTGTTTTCATGATTTGTTAAGACAAGAAGTAATAAAGGAGTTTTCTTATTTTTTGTGACATAGTTGATGTCCTCTTTCCATGTTGGGAGTTCATTCAAAAAGTACAAAAAATACCAAATTAGTTAACATATGTCTCTGTATCAAATGTTTGTGTGCACGAAAATTGTTTCATGTTTTGCATATTAGTAGGATCTATTTCACAGAGCGACAGTCATAAATTTCGTTTTACTTATATTCAGGGAGATAAGGCTACTATCTAACCACTATTCAATTTTTGCGATCGCTCTTTCCGCACTTTCTACAGTAGTTTCCCAGGTGGTACCATTCATTATGACCGCTGTATCATCGGCAAAGCAGAAGATAGAGTCTTTCTCTACCAATGATAGGAGACCATTCACGTAAATATTAAATAGGAGTGGTCCCAGTACTGTGCCCTGTGGCACACCAAATCCTACTTTCAGACAGCCACCTAAAACATATCTTCACACATTGCGTTCCCGAGGCCTATCCTATCAGGTGTGCCACACTATCGAAGGCTTAAGTGGGGTCCAGAAATATTCCAATAACCTTCTTCCCCTGATCAATATTTTGTAGTTTTTTTTTCTGTTACCTTACACACCGCGTTTTCAGTACTGAGATTCTCCCTAAGGCCAAACTTTTATCCAGTAGGGCATATCTTTAATCCAATTTGGTACCATCGACA